GAAGACAGTCTCACTAAAGATTGATCTGGATGCTAAAAAGAAAAGACGGGCTAGAAACGAATTCCAACCAGTAGTCTGTTATCTTCAAAAAAAAGTTATAATACAAAATAATTTCCAAAATATATTGAAGAACATGTGTAATTCTGTTTTTTAATAATGGTGATTGTGGTTCTGTGAGCATGATTCTCTAGGAATAAGCATCATTGGAGTTAGTTTCGGAGAAGCCCTCAGAGGAATTATGCAAGTATTTTGAGGTAATCATCTCACGAAACGTTTGGAAAGTTAGAATCTTAAAAGGCATAAGTATACAATTACTGCTTCAGTTACAAAAGCTTTTGAAATGATAACATTTTGACAGTCATTTTGATAAAATGGAGATAATGCGTCTCAACAACTGATTGCATCTTCACGAACTACACTTCTAATGACTCTATTCGTTATGGTGCCAAGTAATTTTAATAAACAGTCTATTTTATCTTGATAGAATAAAAGGCATTCAACTATTTGTGAAGTTGATTAACACTCAGTGACTTAAATCAGTGTAGTGCTATTCGACAACAATGAAGGAATGTGAATGTTTTCAATTACAAGTAACATATGTTTTATTCATAGTTCACTGGAATGTGAGTCGGTGGTTCAGTGGTTGAACTCTCTCCAACCACTCACGTAGTCAGTGGATCCATCCTCGGACGATGTACTTCTAAAACCTTGCTAGGGTGGTAGTAAGGAAGGTAAAGAGGGAAGGCTGTGTGTGAGGCTAGCAGCCCTACCCTGTAAAAATAAAACCACTGCTATCAAAATTTCAAAGCTCTAGTTTGAAGCCCTATTTTCCACTCGGAACGTTAAGGAACAAGATAATAAATAAAAATCATTGGGATGAAATGCTTAGTTTTTGTTGGTATACTGGATCCTATTATAAACAACTCAGCTGATGTTTTGGTGTTAACCTGTTAGCATTTGGTTGATGGTGGCTAGCAGGGGAACAATATTGTTGTACATTCATCTGATGAGTGTCAGACAGAAGAAAACGCAGACGACCATTAAAAACTTACAGTGTATTATGAAAAAAAGAAACAACAGAGTTCGACTTTCATTACATGTACTTATATTTATTTCAAAACGAATGTTTCATTCTATAGCCAATAATTTGATGTGTATGTAGAAACATTTTTATTTCTTTGCGTTCCGGGTGGAAAACAGGACTTCAAACTACAGATTTGAAGTTTTGGTTAGCAGTGGTTTTCATTTTTACAGGGTGGAGTTGCCAGCCTCACATCCAACCTTCTCTCTTCACCGGCCTTACTACCAGCCTAGTGAGGTGCTAGGAGTCTGTTTACTGAGGATCAGTCCCTGGCCAAGTAAGTGGTTGGCGGGCTTTCTACAGCTGAACCACCAACGCACATGTGGAAACATAGTTCACTTATATTCCTTGACGAATGTAATGCTAGATATGAGTGTATTTCGTTAAGGAAGTAATCGTCAATGTCTCTTTGCTTTTCTATTGAGCCAAGAAGGTTTCAGTACCAAAACAAACACTAATTTTATGAAGTCCTCAGGTAAACTTTGCCAACTAGCATCCAATAGACATGGAACTTTAGTCTAGTATTTCCTGTCACTTCATATTTAACAAATGAGAACAAATAAATTATAAATTAATTCTTGGTTATGAATTCTCGGGATAATTGTCAGTGAAGAATCTGTTGTCACAGTAACTTAAATCTTATTGGATAGTTTATCTGTGAATGGTTTTCCCTTCAAAAAATATCCTGAAATCCATCCAAAGTGATATTTTGTTGACTACCGTGCGGTAAGTCAATACATCACGTATAACGCAATTTCTTTCCCGCATCTTGCCTCAGTAAAAAAGGGGGGAAGGAACGAAAAAGATATAACTATGACGCAATAGGTCTACTGAATAATACTTGCATGCTAGGGAATAATAAATAATTAGGCGACAATTTTCAAGAATCTGTCTAAATCATGAACACTATTTATGTATTTATTTATTACTCAATCATTGACTGAAGAATTTTATTGTTTTTGTAGTTAAATAGGGGTTTTTTGTTTTCTGTTTATGAAATGATTTGACGACTGTTCACTGATAAGAATCGCTTTATCCCATACATATTTCGTCAAAAATTTGCTTGTTATAAATTGTCAACTAACTGACAGTGAAACAAAGGTGGGGGTGAGTGTTTGCGTGTGTGTGTGTGAGTGTGTGCATGGGTGCGCTGTCACAAAATGCAGACTAATAACACTGAAAGTTCTTCTAATTTGCCTACCAGTATATTTTTGTGCAATTATGGAGTAATCATAAAAATTATTTCAATCTTGTGTAATTACTGTATTGATAACTAGAACCCATATAATACCATTGGATAACAGAATAGTTTACGGTTGTGTAAAAAAAATAATAGTAATCATAATATAATGAACGTAAAAAAGACTACTGGGGGAGAATGTTGCAAATGAAATCAAGTCAGAATTCGTCGTCTTACTGGAAATTAGTTGTTGTTCTCTAACTGATGTCAGCTCATGATGAAACCCTCCAACCAATGAAACAAAATGCCCTACAAAACCAATACTTGAAAATTAATCTGATACTAACAGTCGACTGGCTCTATTCAGGCAGTTAACCTAGGGTTCTGATGGAAAGCTGTGACCAGTATGGTACGGCAGGTTGAAGGTGGGGCAGTAGCTCGTTGAAAAAGAAGACATTGGGAAGTGGTCGTGCTGTGTCATGAATTGGCAGAAGTGGGAATTCATGGGCCATTGGATTGGGTCCCACTGACTTAATGGTCTACGAGCTCGCTGGCCTTGTAACCAGAAGGTCCTGGGTTCGAACCTTGGCGGTGGGTACGAACCGCTGAAGCAGAGTTTCAAACTAGGCCGACAAAACAACTGGCTGTCCAGTACTCACCGGTGGCTTTCAAATGGTTCTCTAACTGATGTCAGCTCATAATGAAACCCCTCAACCAATCAAACACAATCCCTACAAAACCAATACTTGAAAATTTTTAGATGAAACAAAGAAAATCCAAGGCAAAGATCAACTGTGTTTTAAGACAACTATATTACCATAGTTTTATTTTTCCAAAAGTGCATACGTAGGCCTGTAATAACTGCAGTCAGAAAGCGTCTGGACTGCAGATGGTTTTGATAATTTTTTTTCTTCACCTACAAACTGAACATTGTCTTTAAAGAATTATTGTTCGTTCGCGAGGAATAAAAGAAACTGTAAGTAAATAATTTAGAAAGTTATCCCTCAAAGGTGATTCCCCACATGGACAGGAAACAGTCGTTATTAAGTGTTTTTTCCTTTACGTTCCAAGTGGAACATAGGGCTTCAAGCGAAAGCTTTGAAGTTTCGGTGGCAGTGTTATTTATTTTTATGGGATGGGGTCACTAGCCTCATGTCCAACCTTCCCTCTTTGCCAGTCTTATTAATGGCCTAGCGAGGTAAACGAGTTGGTAAAGGAGTGGGTCGATCAAGCATCGAACTCCAAACCACCAGCGTGGTTGGTGAGTATTCTACCGCTGTGCCACCGATGCAGCACTTATGAAGTTAGGAAAGAATAATCTTTGAACTACACCGTAGAATGTTAAGTATGAATTATGCATCTGTCAGTCTTAGATTTGGAGTGGACAAGCAATAAAGCTATAAATTACTATGTGATTCCCTTAAATAGATACAAGAACCATAGGACTGCATGTACATAGATAATACTAACAGTAATAACTAAGTGAAATAGTGTCATTTATTTTCCCAGTGACGACTTGCTTTCCTAAAATCAACCAGGATAATCACGAATGTCCTGCCCCCAGGTGGAGGCTAGCCTTTGCACTTCCCTGTGTTGAAGTCTTCAATGATTTCCAATCGGACTAGGTCGGACGGGTAGTTTTTGCTAGTGGGAAGGTCTTCATATGGGTACTAATTGACAGCCTGCTTAAATCATTGGGCTCCCAGAATTCCTACCCACCAAATTTTTAGACTCTTCTACATTTCCTATCATTTTAATCATGCGGTTATATTAGATGATCCCTATGTGAACTCGTGCACAGATTTAATTAGCTTCCACCAAAACAGTTTGAAATTTTTGAGGGAAATGAAGGAAAAGTGTAGAGAATTAGTCCTGTCTTCATATAAAACAACACTACGTCACGAAATACACTTCAGATTATTAATTTACAAATAAATCCTGTATGAAGAAGAAATATTTTGGAACTAAAACTGCTGAAATTTTCTGTACCGCGTTCACAAATTGCCTGAAATCAAGCTTTATCATTCCTTATTTTACATTTTTCACTTACCCTAAGCAGTATTGTACTCAATATCCGTGATCTGCCTTGAAATCAATTAAATCTCTGCAAACCAACATTATAAAATTAATCTGATTCTCACTGGTAACTGGCTACAGGGTGAAGTTACCTGGAGTTCTAGTGAGGAGTTTGTGATCAGTGTAACCAACCAGGTTGGGTGTGGGGACAAATACTGGCCGGCGATATTGTCCGGTGGTGCCACTATATATCGCGAATTGGTAAAAGTTCGAATTCGGGAGTTTTTGGATGGGGTCTCAGTGACTGATTGGTCTGCTAGCTGGCCTTGTAACCTGAAGATCCTGCTCTCAATCCTCAGTGGGGTAATGCGAGAGTACTAATGAAGAGTCCCAGACTAGGACGTTGAAAAATGAGTGCCAGAAAAAACAAGGTGGGGCTGTTTCGTCATGCTTTAAGACTCTTCATCAGTAGTCACCTGTACCTGAATACAGGACCTAATCCAGGACTGTTAGAGCTCATACTGAGCACAGTATTAATAGTCATAAATAAATTACTATTACTTTGAGATTCATACATACGTTCCTTAAAGATGGAAATCTGCTGAGAGCAAGAGTTTAAATCGATTTCTCCAACAAAAAGTGTGGTTCAGTAGTTTTTGCCAAAAATATTTATTATTTATCCCAGGAATTTCATATAATCTATATTTTATATTTTATATATAGGTCAAAGTCTGGTTTCAGAATAGACGAATGAAAAAGAAGAAATTACAATCACGTAATCATCATCCAACTGGTAACAATGCAATGACTGGTAGTCTGTCGGAAACTGGTAAAGACGGAGTTGAATGTATGCTAGAGGATGGAGATGATGAGGATGAAGATGATGAAGACGATCAAGTTGAAGATGATGGAGATGAAGATGAAGAAGAAGATGATGACGATGATGAAGGAAAGGAAGATTTCGACGAATTGGGAACTGGTAACATATTTGACAGACATCATCGTTTCCATCAACACCATCATCAACAGCAGTATAATCGAATTTTAAGTAATTGTAACAGCCATCTTGACCATAATAATAATAGTCTTAGTTTAAGAGGACAATTAAAAGAATTTACACTTTTGAAGAAAACTGATAAAAATTCAGATACAACTACTATTGAAGAATATGAAGAAGATTCATTGAAGAATGAATCTAAAACTAAAAGTGAACATGATCTGAATAATTTAAGTCCAGATATGTATTTGAACACTACATCATCATACTTTATGGAATCCATTCATGACTATGGAGGTGGTAATCAAGCATTATTGACAGACATAAATTACAGTAATAATAGTAATAATAATAACAATAAAATGAGTCATCGTATGCCATTCGATAAGCTGTCACATGAACTATTTCATCATCCATTTTATCATTCATCAATAGAAAATAATCTAATGAATTCTGAATTTAATTTGAATCCAGTTAATATAAATGTGATGAATATGGATAGAGATTTACTGTTGGATCCTTTAAAGGAATCTATGAGGAATCAGTTGACTAATCCAGATTATAATAAGTATATTAACTGTTGTCCTGGCTGGTCAAGAGAGACTGGTAATAGCCAGAATGAAATCAATCTATCTTCATCAACGCCAACAACAACACCACGAACATCCTCTGAATCACTGAATTACTTCACAGGGTTACCACCATCTCCCAGATGGAATAATATGCAAGCAGAATATCCTCCACCAGTCTGTTGTGTGTCGGCTAATCCATTTCATTCTGTATCTAGTCTAAAACCGAATCCTTTGAATCAGTATCACCCACCTCATCCAAATCTTGATCTCCGTAACCATCCGTATAATCATCCCCAACACTTTTCAACTGTAAAACAGTCTGGAATAAATGAATTGACGAATCAAAGTGGAAGTCCTTGTGAAGCTGAGGTAGTGTCTGCACCAATTAACGAGCATAATCTAGGCAATAGTTTACTTGATAAAGGTGAATTGACTGTTGATAACCAGTCATATTTGTCTCGACTTCAACGTTCTATGCTGTATCCGAATTCGAATTATTTATCTGGTTCATGTGCTACAACAACAACGACAACAACAGCAACAACAGGTGAATACCCTTCAAAATCATTAAATTATAATGAAAATAATTTAAATTTATTGTCACAATTAAATACAACATTCCTTTATGATAATGATGAGTCTACTATAGACTTAACAATTCCTAATATAAATACCTCAGTGTCAACAGGACTATCTTCAACAACGACCACGATGAATAACACAAGTAATAATAATAATAATACTAGTAATTTTAATTTATTCCCATTGAATGAATCTGACTACTACGTTAATCAGGTTGATCCTAGTAAACAGTATAAATTTGATAATGACTCCTCAACACTATTTCAATGTTCTGTATTACCGACTTTAACATCATCGACCTCAACACCATTACTTGAACCAAGATTTACTTCTTGTTGGCCTACTATTAATCAAAAGTACTTACCACCGCCATCTACTGCATTACATCTTTTAAACAACAATAATAATACTTCAAGTAATGAGACTAACATTTCGGTAGTAGATGATTTAGACCAAAGCAGTGAATCATTTACAAGCAGTCTGAATAATAATAATGAATTATCATTAACAAAAAGTATGTTCCACTCTTTACAGAATTCCACACTTCATAACCGTGAAACAGATGAAGTAGGTTTACCGGTACCCATGAATGCATGTAACACATTCTCTAGATTTACAGATATTACTGATTGTAGCAATCCAAAGAATTTTCTCTCACCTACTTCACATCACAATAGATCCTTCAACGTGAATACAAATGAATTGAGAAATTCATATTCCGATGAATTGAATTTACCCTCGACTGTTGGTAGTAATCAACAACGTCATTCTCTGAAACAAAACACATCATTTACACAGTATTCAGAATCATCACCGGATACAACATTTTCTCCCCTATATCAATTGAACAATGTCTTCAATCAAGTTAATCCGACGGAATTCAGTTCTATGCTTTATTCATCACCATATTTACAAAACTCACGTTCACTTAATAATTATCCGCCTACAACAAATGTGAATGATTTAGCTATCCCCACTAATCATTCACACAATTCCGACCTATTCAACAATTTAACTCATTCAGTGAATCAGTCTTTCATTCAACCTACAAATATACTACTTCCCACTAGTAAATGCAGTACATCAACAATCAACAACAGCATTGGTAGTAGTAGTACACCTTACTTAAGTAATTTAAGTAGTACAAGCAGTATAAGTAATATTAATATGCCACTGGCTACAATTCCTCCTACAAACACGACTTCAATAACTTTGTCTTCAACTTGACGTAGATAAAATTTTGGTAGACTTTAAGGATAATGTATTTATGTATGTATGAAAATGTATATTATAATTGTCTCTTCTCCCGTTCCGATAATTCCTATCTAGTCCAATCGGCTTAACTTAGTTCTCGGAATGGTTTTCCGAAATTCAAAGTTACCTGTATTGAAATTCCTTCCTTCTTTCTCTCTCACACACATACACAAATACATACACACATATATATATGTGCAAATAAACACTCATGGAGGGAAGGAACCACCCTACCGATTTGAGCACAAACAGTCTTTTATTCAACGAAAACGTGAAGTGATCATCTACAAACGAAAATCAAGTGAATATGACTTCAGGTTACAGTGAAAAATTTCTACATTTTGTTTCATATATATATTACAAAATCATTATGAAATAATTGTTTCAGAGGTGAAAATAAGGTAATTTGTATTGTGAGTCTATGATGTCATAATTATTACCATCACTATTACTCTTTTTTTGTCAATAATTTTTATTATTTTTGAAAATATTACTTCAGTTTACCCCCTCTTTATTCTTTCCCTTCATCGTCCACTTTCCCTCATGTCTGTTTCATACCTTTCATGAGACAATTTTGACGCAGAATAGAAAATCACAATCCCGTATTTTTAATTTGTGTGTGTGTGTGTGTGTGTGTTTGAAAGCTCTTGTTTCATTCTATTTCTCTGGACAACAGAAACAGAACAACGTTATGTATACGTATAAATAATTATTCATTACTATTAGTAATTATTCGAAGTTAATTGTTCATTGTTGATTTCCTCATTTTCATAAAATTTCATTTAATTAATTACACTAAACAGTAAATGCTGACATCAAGGCGAATAAAAGAAAAAAACACAGTCACACCAGGCACAGACACTTACATACTTGTGGAGATTTGTTCATTTTCTTTCTTCAAAACCTCATCGTTCGTTCTATATTTTTTATCACTCGTAAATGAGTGAGGATTTTGTAAAGTTCCTTTTTTTTTCGTCTTTGTTTTCTAATAATATAACTAATCATGATATTATTATAATGCGATGGTCTCATATTGTTACTTCAGATATGCCCTTTTTTTCCCCCACCGATTTATCCTTTTCATGAATGGATGCAACAAACTAGGTACCGGTTCAAGTGTTCGATCTCATGCATTTGACCGATTACAAGACTGATCACTACAGGATGAAGTTTCCTGGAGTTCTAATGAGAAGTCGCGACCGATGGGGTTCGTCAGGTTGAATATGAGGAAAAAAACTAATCGATAACACTAGTTGGCGGTCATGCTACATACAGCGAATTGGTGGAAGTTAAAATCCACGGAGCATTGGATTTCGTTCCGGTGGTTGAATGGTCAATTAAACTCAAGTTGTAACCTAAAGACCCTGGGTTTGATCCCTGATAGGGTCATGGGCGTGTACTGCTACACAGTCCCAAACAAAGACGAAACAACTGTTCAGTACTGTTTACTTTTCAACTTTCCGCCACCTGAATTCAGTTCGTGACCATTCGTTATACTGGTTTAGTCACCAGATAACTAAGCAGTAATTTTCAATCACAGATTGAATTTTAATTTAATTTAAGGTGAATTTTCTCTGGAAATAGAATCGATATATAACTGGAAAATAACAGGCACTATTAGTTGATGTGATTGGTGTTCAACTTCCTACGTCACTCAGCCAATAGTATACAGTACCATGTATCTATGCTTGCTTTCTTGACTACCACTTATGGTATAAAAACAGATCACATACATAATGTCGGTTACGAAATCGGATTGCGGTCAAATTTAACCACGCACTGTATGAACTACAAGTTGCAAATTGCAGGTATTAGTAATGCTCTTAACGAACTATCAGGAATTCAAGGTGTTTCAACTGATGTGATCCTCTGAGTTGCATCAGACTGAGGGCACCAGTGATGAGCTGAACCCCAAAGGAGTGAAACAGCCCTCCGGTGTACAGATCGCTTCGATCTGGCTAGTAAGCATAACTGGTTGACGCAAGTAGTAGGTTAGTCAATAAGTAGTATATGTCAACAGGCATTTATAGCATGATTTAAGTTTGAATTTTCGGAGTGAATTGAAAATCGTTTATGTTTTACTTTTAGCATATCGGGTGCTACATATTCTAAGCCAAGGGATAAAAAGAATATTTACATTTAGGAAGTGTCTTAGCTGCCTTAATGCAAACTGGTTTATTTACTATCAGTTGTCTGTTTCAGCCAAGATCTTCAGGCGAGTTCGAACAAGGGGACTCAGACAACATATAATGAGATATATATAATTATGAAGTTTTCAAATGCAAGAACAAGGAATTTAACAGGATGAAATATGATATCATTTTATTTAACAGCATTTTGTCAACAGCAAACAACTTAAATATAACTTAAATATCAGCCAATATGCACAGAATAGTCCAGCTGTTTTAGTCACTTAGGTTAATACTGAAATGTTCTATACTACTGACTGATTCGTATAAGTAGCTGGATATTACTGATGTCGACCAGTAATAATTGCCAGCTAAGTCGAAGTGGAAAGAACCGGAGAAGTAAAATAATGTTATTTTATTTTGCTCAATTTCAATTTCTAATTTGTATGATATTACATAGAACACAGTTGGCATTTAGTGAGTTACTAATGAAAAAAAATGTACAAACGGTTATAGTGGTGTATGGATAAGCGACAATGCATTCTGTTAAAAAGTGGAAACTAGCTGGTCAATTAATTTTGAAGTCTGTCAAAGCACACACCACCACGGATTCACCTGTTAGGTCTCTGAGATCTTCAGTAATATGTATTCAATAACTAATGACATCTGATAGAAATTAACTAGTCAAACTAATGATTAACCTTCGATCACAGAAAATAATAACAGTCCTTTCCTGTTAAGCATTATATATGCTGTTAACACATGAGGATTTCTAACCGAAATAATCACACTCCATTAATGACGTAATCTCAAAAGGTGTGATAAACTGCAAACTGTTTAAAGATTATGCATTTTCATTTCAAAGCCTCGTCTTCTTTCTGCTTCCTTACTACATCACCGCTTCTTCACAATAAAACTCAAACACATAAAAACGGTGATTTCGTTACGAACTGACGTCAGTTAGAGAACCACTGAAAATCAAAGAATGCTGGTCAGATATTTCTTCCTAGATAGGAAGTGTTTGACCCAGGACCTTCAGATTATGGACTGAGTCATTTTACTATTCAGGCATCAGGCTGGTATCCTCTAACTCTTGAATACTAGCTTCTGTCGCTTCACATGATATAGGGCCGTCGCAATTCAATGCGATTGCCAAGCATCTGTTCTTATACCCAACATTGTGGATCCCACTAGTCACAACTTCTCATCTGGACTCCAAGCACTCCACTCCACAGTCAGTAATTAATGAGCAGTGCATTGATTTCCAATTCTAGCATTTGCTGTTTGTGCTAACGCGTCCTTATAATAAACCATGGGACCTGAGTTTGGTAACTGCTTAGGTCATGGATGCGTACCACTGATAATCCCCAATCTAGAACGAAACAACACTTCCTGGTTCTAAGTGGTTCTCTAGCTGATATGAGTTGGTGAAAAAATCTACCTTGAATGCAATCAATTTTTTATAACCTAAAACCTGTAAAATCATAGGAAAGTTCTGTCTAAAAAATGTCAATTCATTTTATGAATTGTGATCAGCCAACAGTAATTATTTTTACCAATAATATTTCTAAATCGTTGTTACATTATCAAATAATGTAAACGATTAAAAAGTTGTTGGGATCATAAAGGGAAATCTCAAATAATATCAAGCGAGAATTCTGGATCCCAGTGTAATTTGCTATTTTGTGGAAACCACTGACTTCTGAGGATTGCAAATATGAGCAAAATGTATAGACAAGGGGACTGAGAAAATACCGATCAGGATATTCCATCATCAAAATAGCAACTTCGTTAGGGGAGTGGAAGTTAAATTTGTGAATGTACATAAGTGGGTTAGGAATAAGTGAGACAACGTTAATTAACCCAACAAACAGTTTCCAATAGATTGAGATATTGACCAGTAATTGGAAGAATTCAACTATACTTGCAGTGTATACTAAATTTAAACTTTATTCTCCATAGGATTTTGTAGAATTTCCACTTCAAAGATACATTCTGCTAAATTAAGCAACAATGAACGTTTCTGACTCACAGGGACTCATAATTTCCTACTGAAACTTGTTATCTAAACAGGTAGTGGTGATATCTTAGATAGTGAATTGTTTAAACCAATAATTGAACTTCTATATAGATAGATGGTCTCGGAATGATCGCAGGTTAGTTGACGTACAGTTCTTATCGGAATAAACAAATAATTAAACGCTGTTGATAATATAAACTGAATATTACTGCATTCCAGAAGAGTAGCTTGGTATACTAAAGTCTATAAAGATGACGGTACTTTCTGAATCAGATGCACAAGAGGTTACTGGAGCCAGTTAAAAATAAAGGAATACACTGTGTATCTGCCATCCACATAAAACTGTGTCAATTCCCTATAGAATACATTATGTAGAGTTAGTTGCTATCGCCTTTTCTATGGCAGTCAATGGAAGAAGGACAGTTGTATCTTTAAGTACTACTTTAAGCAATTACATATATATATATATATACATATATATAGCCAAATTATGTACACCTTATCTGCAAATCATCATTGCACAGATATCCCATGTTGTGCTAATTCTTACCTTCCTTAATATTGTGTTCCTTTCATATCTCCCATTTATCTTCGCTACGCTGTATCATTCGCCTTCTCTGACATCAAATCTATCTCCATGCTATTTGGTGTTTTTCTGCCAATAAACGTGTCTTTATATACTACTGATAAACCTTATCAGCAGCACACGCCACAGTATCGGACAGAAATGAAATTTTGATGTTCCATCATCTCAGGATGACATGATTATGAGCAATAAACTGTACTCGAAACGTCAATTGTAAATATTACTGCATAGCACTGTG